TAAACTTTTTTTTTTACCAGTTTGAAAACTACTATATAAAATGAACTAACAGATAATAATCTTCCAAGTAGAAGGGGAGAATGAATAGGGCTATAGGAGATAAAACACTGAATATGAATTGTGTAATTTAGGTGACAGGAATATGAGTATCATTATACTAGTCTGTGGTTTACAAATGTTTGAAATTTCCCATAAAGACACAGACTTAAAAAAAATCAAGGTGAACAATTTTTTGGAGCATAATAGTTAACACAATCATTTCAAAAACAGGCAAGTGAAAGAATCAAGCATTTATCTTGTCTTTCCCATAGAAACTGTACCTCAGAGTAACCAAATAGTAGATTTGGGGAAGTTTCTTTTATTATATAAAAGTAAACTAAACAAAGCACGCAAAAGGAATGGTAGAGCTTTGCCGTTTTGCAATTGCTAAATGGTAGTAGATCTACGTGATGGTCAATGGTTACTACCATCACAAGAAAAGACATATTACCTAAGTGCCCAGTGCCATCTATACAGCATTCCTGGGGAAGAGAGAGGGGGGGGGGGCAAGCAGGTAGTAAGGAAAGAACCAGCTCCCAATTTACAAAATCTGAGGTGGGGACATATATTAAATAACACCATGGGGACATAATCAGTGAAATCCAGATTGTTAGAATTTTCATGGAACAAAGAGCTCAGTTCCTTCAACAAATAAGTTGCAAGAGGAAAAAAAAAAAAGGATGAAAAGGGAAGCTATTAAAAGACCATATCAAACATCGCAATGTGTACATAGTGAAATACATACTGAAATGTTTAGAGGTGAAATTATATGACTGGAATTTGTTTCAAAATAATCCAGGAAGTGGGATGAAGAACAGGTGAGAGATTGGCCACTAGTCGCGGTTGGGTGCTGGGTACATGGGGCTTCATCATACTATACTAATTGGTACATGTTTTAAGAATCTTAATGACAGGAAGTTTTCCTAAACCTTATGTATAAAAGTCTCTTTTTAGGATGCTAGAGAGCTAGGTAGATCTTTTTGGCTACTCTTAATGGAAATATGTAAGGGTTTGACATCAAACAGCTTACCAGATCAAGTTATATTTGCAAAAACAAAACTAAAGTGTACTAAGGAAATCTTTTTTTAATCCAGTGGGATGTAAAACCTTTCAAAGATGTAAAATTTACTCAAAAACACAGTTTGTATTTTTTGTTTTGTCAGAGAAATACAATATATACGTATGCGAGAGAGTGTCATGGTGAAAACTCAGGACGTGGTATCTTGAATACTTTATAATACAGTCTTTCTTACTGGGTGGAATAGTCAGCTGATCTAAGCAGCAAGGAGAATGGTTTAGCTCTTGCTCAATTACAATCATTTTTCAAAATCCTTTTAATTGAAGTATACTCCACAGGTAAATGTACAAATCCTAAATGTACAGGCTCAATGAATCATCAGAAAGTAAACACACCTGGGTAACTAGTACAAAGGTTAAGAAATAAAACATTAACCACAGACCAGAAATCTCTCCTCACACCCTCAGATACCTTCCCAAAGGTAACCACTATCCTGTTTCTGAACTTGATCTAAATAAATTATACATTATATATTCTTTTGTGTATGGCTTCCTTTGTTCAACATGACGTGAGATTCTTCTCCAAAGCTTTTATGCAGCTTTATTGTTTTCATTTGTATAAAATATTCCATTATACAAATGTATCATCATGAAATTTATCTCTAATAGTACCTGTTGCCCTAACACATACTTTGTCTAACATTAATATAAGTAACACCGGCTGTCATTTAGTTAAAGACAGTCTCTTTGGAGGTTAGCATTTGCCACTTGCTTTCTGCAGGATCAAGGGTGTAGCAGTTAAATCTGTAACTTTAGGCATAGGATATAGGTGCTTACTAACTGCAGGCAATTTATTCCAACAAAACCATTGATTTTTTCCTGTTCCTGGCTATATCCTTAGAACAAACAGGAATGAAAGAAGATAGATACAGGGATCTTTATGGAACATAGAATCATAATGTTTCCTGCTTAATTATACTTTTTCACATCAGCAGAGGCAGGCGTTCTGCATCCAAACCCAATGATTTCAAATGCGCTGATTCCAAGAAAAGTGTTACTAGAATTTTATCAGTTCAATATAAATTGCTTTGATAAGAACAGTGAAGAGTTTCCATTAGAAGTTGAAATAGGAAAGAAATCTGTCGATGTAGGATCAAACAGCACACGAAGTGGGTCTAATACTCCTAACCATTCCTAATACAGCATCCCAGCTCAGTGATATGCAAATGTTGGGCAATAAAAATTGAGCACAGCTTGCTGAATGGTGTTCTCTTTATTATTTCTGCACTGTTCAAGTAACGGCATACGTCTTAGAAAAGACCATTGCTCTGAAATGGCTTATTTTTGAGAGTAAAGGATAGATAATTATTGCAGGGCGTATGTTCCTGCATGTTCATAATCAGCTGTACAGCAGCTTCAGCCGTATGAATTCTGACTAGAATGGCCTAGAGAGAGTCCTCATGATCCATTTTGAGGGCTTCCCATTGAGGGCAAGAGTTCAAGACTATTTGATTTACAGATTCTGGCTGGTATTTCCACTAGACCACACAGTTCTAAAAGGTAAATCACCATGTCCCTAACTCTTGGTTATTTCCCCAGCACCTAGCTCAATTCTGGTACAATTAGTACTAAGGGAGATGGAGGAGTGATTTTTATTAAAGTGATCTAGGCTGAATTGTGTCCCCTCAAAATTCTTACGTTGAAGTCCTAAGCCCCGGTATCTCAGAATGTGACTGTATTTGGAGGTGGGGCCTTTAGGGAGGTGATTAAGGTAAAATGAGGTCAGATGGGCGGGCTCTAATCCAAAATGGTGTCCTTATAAAAAGAGATTAGGACACCTACACACACAGAGGGAAGACCACGTGAAGGCACCAGGAGAAGATGGCCATCTACAAGTCAAGGAAAGAGGTCTCAGAAGACATCAACCCTGCTGACACCTTGACCTTGGACTTCTAACCTCTAAAAAAGCTGTAAGAAAATACACGTCTGTTGTTTAAGCTACCAAATCTGTGGAACTTTGTTATCAGTCCTAGCAAAGTAACACAAATGGTAACTACATTTTTTAAAGAGTTTTCTCAAATTTACAACTTGAAAGTACACTTTTAGTTTAAAATTTTCGTAAGTAGGTAGGCATTTTTACCCTTCAGCAGACAGAAAGACCTCCACCATGTATGCAAATGCTTTTCAATTGGTTCTGGCAATTCTCAGAAGAGGACATAACACCCCAAATCCGTGTATAAACCTTCTGGATCATAACCCTCACAGCACTTGGGCAGGATAGAACTGCAACCCCTGGGTGCAATGGAGAGTGCTGGGTAATGTCAAGGAGACCTGCGTTCTAGTCCAGACCCTGCCATCACCGGCATGTGGCCTTGGGCAAGTGACTTCCTTCTCTGTGTTGCTTATCTTTAAAAAGTGGAAATTGAACTTGGTGGTCTCTTAGATCTATTTATACTCAAAACTGTGTGACTCACTGATGGTTCAAAGCCCTCCACTGTGTAAATAAGCATTTCAAGGTCAAGCAAGTTTATAAAAACCTATTTGGCCACAGGGTTATTTTCTCTTTTCCTGATAAAAATGCCTCATGCTCAAAAAAACTGATCTAGTTACATTTATACTTAATGAAGAACAAATTTTATATGAGCCAGCAAAGATCAGTAGTAGTCACCTAGTTTTCTATTCCATTAGAAATAAATTCCCACTTCCAAAAGATCCTAGAGTGAAAAATTAAATGACTGCTTAGACTCCTACAATCCAATACCGCTCTGAAGAACCTCGAAATAAAACATCTCTAAGGAAAAGCAAAATATAGGCAGCTCGTAACTATGTTACCTTTTAATTAAAAAGAACACAAACTTGGTTTGAGATCACACCGCATGTCTCAAAATTTATGTATACCAACTCCATAAGGAAGCCAAACATTGAACTGGAAGGTGTTCCAACTCCTGCTCGGCACTGCACATATGTCGTGTGTGTGTGTGTGTATGAGAGTGTGAGTGACAGAGAGAGAGAGAGACAGACAGATACACCTAAAGAGAGCGAAAGACAGCACTCACGAAAATGTGCCAACAGGTACTTGTACTAAGGTGGGGGGGTGACACTGAAGAAGCTGCATTACTGGACACTTAGAAAAGCACTTCATTTCTCAAAATGAGAACTGTTCCTTAATTAAAAGAGAGGTGATTAGTTGACTTAAGGTTTTTCAGTTTTTAAAGTTGTATGAATATAGCAGTGCTTGCTATTCTCTAGCTATGACAAGTTTGGATGATGGCTATGAAAAAGAAAAGAAAATATGACGTCATTAGAATTACAGGTAAGACAAGGGGAAACCCAAAGTACAGACAAGAACACAGAAAAAAATCTTAAGAGAGTACAGATGTCATGACATTTATTAAAAGGCATGCTACAATGCTATACTTGTTAGGAAAAGAGCTTTGAGATATCAAGTAATAGTCAGCAAATATACAAACCGAACGAAAATGGAATATACTGTAGTGTACAGAAGCTTGAATTAACCATGCACTACGCACTTAGAAAATATTTTTTTTAATATTTTATCTTCTCTTTGCATTTATAACATAATTCACTTCAACAATCACAGAGTCTTTTTCTTCCAATGCCACAAACTGTGTTACAAATAAAAGCTGGTTCTGTTGCTTATCAAAATATACAAGACAACTGATGTTTTATATAAAATCACTTTATATGTTAACTTGTTCCCAAAAACCGTTTTTTTTTTTCCTTTTTTGGCCTGGTTAAAAAAAATGTTGTTACAAATATTTACAGCATTTTCTTCTGTTAGATGAACATTCTTATAAACTGAAAAAAGGGGATTTTATGAACAGACCACGTAAAACACTAGACAACATCAGAGGCTCCTAGCTGTGCTATTTTTTTTCTTAAATACAGTACTGAAAAAACCCATCAAACTCTTGTCATCCTAATCCATTCTGTTCACATTTAAACTCCCATTTTCTCTAAGTAGTCTATTCACCGATAGGAAATAGAAAATAAAGGCCGCTTTGCACTGGGTCTTCTTTCAGAAAGGAGCTTGGGAAAACAATGTTTAACAGAGAAGAGTTAAACCAGAACAGTCAGTCTTTGGTCAGAGCAATGAGGTGACATTTTGATGCAAAACTTTGCTTGGTCAGCAATCTTTATAATTAGTACTTTCTGAATGTCGGATGAATTTTTTTAAAGATCTGGGTAAACAATGGTAAGGAGAAAAAAGGCCAGAGTATGATTTTTTTTAAATGACATCAAAAATAGCTATTTAAATATTTGTTGTTGTAACGACTACATAGATTCAAGAACTAAAAATAACAAGACAACAACAAAAATCTGTTTGCAGTGCTGATTTCAGCTTGCCATAAGCAGCTTTCAATCATGACTATTAACACCAAGGCCACTGGACCAGACAAGTATCCCTGCTCTCTGGAACATATGCCTCAGGTTACAGAAACTAAGATGACTACCACAAAGATTTAGAGCAGCTCTGTTCTCGGACCTGCACGATGCTATACAATGACTATTATGTGATAAAGACAAAACGTGTAACTGAGACTCTACTTTACAGTTACAATTGTTTGCTTGAATGGATGGTCTGTGGGATAACATTCTTTTAAAACTATATAGTATACATTTCCTGAAAACCAGAATACTGATACTACCTTAGTCTCAAATAGGAAGAAAAGATCAATTAAGACTACTGAAGAAGGCACATAAACTTTGGTCCTGTGTTGTTTTTCTCCCTCTATAAAACCCCCAAAACTATTATTTTAGTAATTTTCTATTTTTTAAACCATTCACAACTAGCTGTTAAAATTTGCTCTGAAAAAAGACTGCAAATAGTCTTGTAGATAACCAGCTCTTAAAAGACAGCTGAGTTATATTTTCTTTCAAGGAAAAGTTTCATGCAGTCTAAACTGTATTTCTTCTAGCACAATAGTAGAATATTTTAAGTCCGGCAGTTTTATTCTTGTTAACATATCAAGACAAAAGAAAGGCTAAGAAAAATGCTTTTTACGCGTAGTCATGCTGTCTTTTTGGTTTTAAAAATAGCAGTACACATTAGGTTTTCTCTAAGAGATGGGCTGATAGTTCTGCAGACTTAGTTTTAAGTGACTCATTGGAGAGAAAAACACATACTTTTGAGCTTGTCATCTTTTGTGCAGAAATATTTAGTGGGAACAGAAGAGGAATTACATGATAATATACTCAGTGTATAAACTCTGCTGTCCAGTGACATGGAAGCTTTGAAAAGTTTATATAAAACTGAACAGAGACATTCATGAGAGTTCTTCCAATCAGACGAAACAGAACCTATGGCCACCATTCTAGGTGGAGCCAAAGGAGGCATTACTTTATAATTCCATAACGAATTAGGCAGGCAGAAACTGTGTCTCTAAAACAGAGAGATCTGCAACTTTCAACAACAAAATCAGAAACACCACTACAAATGGCATTATAGAATGAATTTATGGCATTTTGTAGGAGCTACTGTGTAATTCTGATACTCTCTAGTAAGGTATCAAATTAAGATACTGGGTCATTTTTCTATTTGTATCTCACACAAAACACAATTTACTGTAATGTAAGTGATTTAAATCTCAAAGTAAAACTTTTTGGCATAAATTGCTACTGTTAAACGTGTACTGCTATTTTTTAAAGTCCTGAATATATACATATGTTGTGTCAAAGTCAGACACCTCCAAAAGTGGTAAGACAATACTCCTTAAAATAAAGTAAATAAACTTAAAAATAGGATACTATGACAGCTCAACAGTGAAAACAAACAGTGCTTATTAGAAGATATCAAATAAATGCATGCCAAACAAAAATACAAAGATCTAATTTTTCCACTACCCTGATATTTTAAAATCTTTTTACAGAAACTATACCAACACAAATACTGTAGACCTCTATAATTCCAAGAGCAAGTAGCCCAATATGGACAACATCCATGTGCTACAGCTAATTTTAGACACAAATTGACGGTTCCAAACACAACGATTTTAAACAAGAATATCTCATCTTCCAAATCTTAATTTGATTTATTTCGTCAATAAATTATAATGTATGTAATATGCATATGTATGTACAACATAAGAACAGTGTATGTATGTATATACACACACAAATCCCTGAAAAGGATTCAAATGTTCTCAGATATAAAGGCCATTCCCTACTTCAAAATTACATTCAACACCATTATGATCTCCATTCTGCTACAGTTTTGCTACACTTGCACTGAATGTTATGAGTATCAAGATTTAAAACTACACAGTTAACTCAAAAAAAAAAAAAAAAGAAAAAAAAGAAGAAGAAATAATCCAATTTAATATGCCATTGAAAATTACAATAGTGCCTGTATGGAAGGAAAAAAATTAAGCCAATTTTAGGAGATTTCTTAACAGAAAAAAACTTTTCTCCCCTCCCTTCTTACTCTTTGTTTTGGTGAAAATATTTTTCATAGGTGAAAAAATAAAAACTAGACAAATGATTACATCTATTTATTCAGCCAGTACTAAAATGGGTCAATTTGAAAGGACTCAATGTGGTGTCCTCTTTTGTGTTCCACCAACTATGCTTTTTAACAACCTAAATCTCTTGTAGTCTCTAATTTTCTATAAAATTTCTTTTGTAAAAACCTTCCTGTGTTCAAATTAAAGGCTTGAATGTAGCAAAGAGATTGAGATATTCTTTTAAAAGGTGAGATGAGCCACTCTGAGAATCTGAAAAGTGTAAAAGGGGTGGACAAAATGACCCTTTTAACAAATTCTGCTTTAAAAAAATTTGATCAAGCACTGAAGGAATAATTAACAAAAGCAAATTATCTAATTAAAAAGAAACAATTTTACATTATACAATCACTGAAGCAACATTAAAACGTACTATTACATTCAACCAAAAACAGAGACAGAGTATGAGAAAGAACCCACCTTCTCATACTCCATGTATGTGGGCACTCAGGAATGGAGTTACACGAACAAAGAAAAGCAAGTTCTCACTTAAGTCTATGACAAAAATCAAGTAATCCTGAGACAAATTCTAATGGGTGATAAAGATCAGACAAGATCCAGAAACTGAGCTTGCATTTTATAGCCCCAAACTGGTATGCTATTACTGGCAATGACCACTGCTGGTCACCATGTGAAGAGGCCTACAGGTGTGCACTGAGTTAGTCCCAAAACCATTCACCCGTCTCCACCCCATCTCTACACCAAAGCACCAAAAATTTGAATAGAAACTATTACTTACTGAAAACCACTTAAAACTGCAATTAAAAAAAAACTTCAAAATCCTTACCAAAACAGGGAAAGAAAAAACAAACGCTCACCAAGCCCACAATATAGCTTTCAAGATACTTAGATAAAACTCTAACCTATTGTATCATAAGCACATAATAAGGCACATAATAAGAAATTAAGTAAATACACAGTAATTCTGAATAAGTATTAGAGATTATAGTGGTACAAAAAACCCTTGAGATTAATTTTTTTCTAAAAGAAGACCTTACCAAAAATAACTTTTAAAAATCTGTCAAACCATATGATAGACCTGAATATTTTCCTTAAGACTGTAAACTTTTTTCTGAAAACAATTATAAAAAAGTAGTTTATAAGTAGGATTATTTTTCTTTTTAAATTTTCCAAGATCATATTATATTACTAGGCAAGTAAGTGTCATTTTGAAATTTAAAACATAATTTTTCCTAATAAAATTATTAATTATTCTGACATCTTAACAGATTCTGATTGGATTCCACTTAATTTTCCAAGAGACAGTTGAGACACTTCATTTTCCAAATAGTCTTAGAAAGTCAAAGATACGCAAAGGAGTGTCTTAGAGTGAAAAAAAAATGGAAAGAAAACATTCATGTTTATAAACTTGCTTCCAATACAACCCAATTTGTTTATGTATTGTAAGTATCAATATATGCCAAATAATTGATGTAACTTATACATGAACATAATTTGCCACAGGAGTCAAACTTCTGAATCATAAAGTTAAAAACTTGGTTGTAAGTAATTTAAATTACTTGCATCAAGTAATTTAAAAAGTCTGTACGTTTGAATTTCTCAAAGTACAAAGAAGGTTAGAAATGTTGTATAAGGCTGATCTGGACCCAAACTAAAAGAAAGTCTGTCCTCTTGAAATTCAATTTAATATAGGGAATTAAATTATTCAAAAAAATTTTTTTTCCTGAAGGTTATTTTCATAGAAACTATGGTACAAAAGAAAAACACACCTTTGATCACAAATTCGCAGGGGAAAAAAATGGGAAAAGAGAACATCCCGTGATTTTTTAAACATACTCGAATATCAAATTCAGAAAGTTATTTTTGTGAAAGAGGCAGAATTGGTCTTGAGTGCTTCAGTCTATGTCTGAAGGTTTTACTGAAATTATGGTCCAGCCTTAGGAGAAAAATTCACAGAAAAGTCAGATTGTAGATTTTGAGAAGGAAACTCTGAGGTGGTGATTTTCTCCAAGGTCATGGTTATGAAGCTCAATGAGGGCCTGGATTGCTTCTTCCACAGATCCCAACTGAATGAGTGCCATTTTGCGATCTTTCCTGAAAACAGTAGGAGAAATATTAGAAGTATAATAGAATTAATTTTGCCTACAAACTTTTCTCAACCCTAGAAGACTTCATTAAGCTACCTTAAACATTTGCATATCATATTAAATAATGTTAATATATTTCTTGAAAGCATGGACTTACTGAAAAAATTTAAAAGCCTTCACTGAACATCCAGCTTCTGTGAAAAGGTTCTTCAGATCATCCACTGTAACAGAGGGGCTGTGAAAACATCACAGAGAGAGTCAACTATCTTAGCCCCAATTTTCAAATAAAGCAGATTAACTTTTGAAATCATCAAGTCTCCAGAATATCTCAACATGTCAAAGAGAATAAAGCCATGCAATGAAAACATGATTTGCAAGTACCCTGAAAGATGTTCAAGGTTGACACATACATGTTCTCAAACAATGAAATTTTGTCTCAAGTCTTTTGTAAAGACATGGGCAGTATATAAAAAGCAAGAAAATCTTTCTATATTTATTGTTTCAAAAGGGTTATTACCCATACCACTGGCTTCAGTAATTAACTCTAGTATACTATCAAAGCTACTTCCCTAGCTCTGACTTGTCTTCTACAGTCTGGCATTTTCCACTACTAGTCCAGTAGATTTTTAGTACATTACTAGTCCAAGACATTTTCAATTACTTTCAAGGTAATTATGAATAATTGTATGTGGTAGCCAGGTTCTGAGATGGTCCCTAATTACTCCTGCCTCCTAGTATTAACACCCTTGTGTGAATTCATCCCCCATACTGAATAAGGATGTCCTCTGTAATGCTCAGGGTATTGTAGAAATAACACATGTGACTTCTGAGGCTGAGAGACACTAGGACTCCACCTGTCCCTCTCTTAAATCATTAACTTTGGAAGAAACCAGTTGCTGTGTCATGAGGACACTCAAGCAGCCATATGAAGAGGTCCTTGTGGCAAGGAACTGAGGCCTCCTGTCAACAACCAAGCACATGAGTGAGCCACTTTAGCTCCACTTAAGCCTTCACATGTAATCTTGAGGGACTTGGCCAAAACAACTCAGCTAAGCCACTTGGAGATTCCTGACTCACAGTAACACAATGACATAATGAATATTTACTACTTTGTTTAGCTGCTAAGTTTTGGGGTGATCTGTTATGCAGTAGTAGATAACTAATACACTGGTCTATCACATTAGAATCAACAGACTAACAGTAGACTTCCTCATCTGCCAGCAAGGCAGTAGACTCGGATAAAGTAGACTTTATGGATAAACTGCTTGAGACAGAAAGTAAGATAGTGGGGAAATACTGATTAATGGGTACAGAGCTTTAGTCTGAGATGATGACAAGGATCTGCAGATGGATATAAGTAAGAGTTACACAATATGAATGTACTTAACGTGAGTGTACACTGAAATGCACACTTCAAAAATGGTTAAAATGGTAAGTTTTAGGTTATGCATTTTACCACAATTTCAAAAAGATTATTATGGAGATTAAATGAGGTAACACATGTGAAACACCAGCATAGTGGCCAGAACTTTGTAGATGATTAAAAAAATAATAATGTCCCTTTTCTCTTCTACCTACATGTCCAAAGTAGGATGCAACCTGAGACCAGCTCCTGGCAAATGTATTTAAGAAGGAGCCTGCTTTAGTATCTTAATATGTTCCTTCTCTCCCTGACTATATTGATGAACTGCTAAATTCCTAGATGCATGTAATCTAGACTCCTCTAGTTTCCTGGCTGTTAGGAGGTTTGAGCCATTGCCCAATTCAAATTCAAGGTTTCTCCATGCAGCCTATCTAACTGGAGACTAGCTAGGAGCCTGGGTACTCAACATGATTTTGAATAATTATTCTAAACCTATTCATCTTCCATTCTCTTTTTCAAAAATGTTCCAGAACTGTACCTTTCTCCATTCACTCAGTCTTCAAATTTTCACACAGCATGCTCAGACATAACCATATCCCACAGCTTTTCCCCATTCCTTGCCAAAGCTTGCCCACTTCATGCATCAGATTAAGCTATACCAAACTGCCATCTTTGCAGGTCAAGGATTTCAAGAATTAAAACAGGGGTTGCCAGGTGCTTTCTTTAAAGGGTCATAAAGTAAATTTCTTAGGCTTTGATGGCCTCACAGGCTCTGCTGTAACTACTTAGCTTTGTGGTCATAGCTCAAAACCAGCCATAAAGAATATGTAAATCAATGAATGTGGTTGTGTTCTGTGAAATTCTATTTATGGAAGCTGAAATTTTAATTTTATATAATTTCCTCAAATCACAAAACTATTTTCCCTGAACCATTTGAAAATGTAAAGATGTAATCTTGAGGGACTTGGCCAAAACAACTCAGCTAAGCCACCTGGAGATTCCTATAGTTCACAGGCCATACAAACACTGATGGATTTGGCCCATGGGCTGAAGTTGGTCGATCTCCAAGTTAGATGATGACTAAAGAACAATTCTGCTGGAACACTGGTTAATACAGAGTGGTCACAAGAAAATAATTTTTCGCTTTTAGTTACAGATATGGCTTTACAACTTGTGGGTAAAAAATAAGAGAATTCAGTTTTACCAAATTCTTAGATACATAAATTATTTGATTTTGCTATGCTGATTACTAAAGAGTCTTTACTTCTACAAAGGGATAAACAAGTATGTATTAATGGAATATTAATGCATAAATGTATTTTTGTTCTTTTGTAACTGAAAGGTAACTAGTTTCTAATTATTTGGAAAGAAAATTTTAAAATATTGCTATCTTTCACTTCTGGAGTGTATGGTTAGAGATACAACCTTCTTAAGACATACGGCAAATAATCATCTTAACAAGAAACTAGTGAATAGGACAGCTGCTACATTAGAGTAATTTTAGAGTTTTTACCTCCCCAAATCATATACTGTAGATTATTAATCATCTAAATGAACACTAACTAATTAGATACATACGGGATGTTGGAAAGATGCAGAGTGGCTGATGGTGGAAAAATATTCTGAAAGTTTTTAGATCCAGGCTTTTTAAAACGATGCAAAGGACTATTGCTAAAATCCTTAGTCAGACCTTGGTCTTCTTGTCCCTCTCGAGGAAGCTGAACTGCTTGATGTTTGGACAGAGTAGCACGAAGCACTTTCCCATACAGTCTCTGTCCGCTCAGATGGTTCATTGCTGGTGCACAGAAAGATAATAAGGAAAGTGTGAGTATTAAGATAGAGTCTCTATAAAACTGTCTATCATAAATTCTCTTTATTTAGTCATAAAAACTCCAACATATGGAAATGCATTAAATGACTTTGTTTCACTACCACAAAAGAAAAGCCACACAACAAAAAATAATTATTTTCCTAGCAGAGTGCTAGGAAATTCCAGTGTCTGGAATATAGCAAATGCTCAGGAAATAGTTATTGAATAAATAAGTTTAATCTTTAAGCAAAGCACTTTTTATAAAAAATCTGAGTAGTAATATTTCAATAGCCACTATAATAATGAATGGTGAGACCATGGAATGACACTTCCTTCTACCATTATTAGGAAGTTTGCACAAACTTTTAAGCCATGCAACAGTTCAAGAAAACTTAATTTGAAAGAAAAACAAACAAACAAATAAAATGAAAGAAAACAAGTCATGTTTATTAGTTTAAACTCAGTGGAAAAATCCAAGAGTCAAAACTCTAAACATAATATGTTCAAATAGATAAATGAACTTCAAAGAGTAATAAATATCTTTAAATCCTGAAATATAGGCAGATCCAAATAATAATGAAGAAATTATATTAACAGAAGGAGGTACACTTCCTACTAGCTATCAGTTTATTTTATAGGAAAATTCACATACAAAGGCAGTAAGTCATCATGATCATTAATCACTAGTACCTAGCTGAGCTTGATTTGCATCTGCCATCTGAACCAAGGCATTTTCTTTCTTATTAAACATTATCTTCACTCGATGTACATCACCATATACTCCTAATTAAAAAAGACAAAACAAAACAGTTTTTCAGATTGACTGTGCAACGTTCAATTAATTTTACTAATATATTTAAAGAAAGCTTCTTTCCTCATACTATATACTTTCTCTGGGCAATTTCACACATATGCCCCCAAATTTGTATCTCTTTTAGGTTCCAGATTTACTAATCTAGTGCCCCACTTCACCTGGATGTACCTATCATAAACACTTCTAATTTAATATGTCCCAAACTGATACACCTCCCCTTTCCTGTCCTCTCCAATGTCCATTTACTCTGTTGATGAACAGTACCATCATGCATGTATTTGTTTCAGTCAGATACCTGGGAGTCATCTTTTGACTTACTCCTTTCCTTAAACACTTAGATCTAATCACCAACGAGTACTTACTACTCATTGATTCTATGGCCTAAATATCTCTCACATTTGTCCACTTCTTTTCATTTTCACTACCGTCAAATCTATTATCACCATTTCATATCTCGACTATCAGAATAGCCTCTTAATTGATCTTATTACATCCGATTTTTCTATACTAGTGTTCCTGAAAATGGGTCTTACATCCCAAAGGGAATACAAAATGATTCATTGGAGTAAGGGAGGAATATAAGCTGTAATTTATACTGATTTGTTTATATAAACCAATATGAAAAACTATATTTTACTAATATTTAATATATAGATGAAATTTTAGGCAGAAGTTTCTACACTATGAAGGGCATTCTCTCTTTTTTTCATTTAGTGTATTAAAATATATTGCAGTTTATGTGGAAGAGGGTATCACCAATATTGCAAAAATAAGACTCTTAAAATAGCAGCATCATTATCATACTTTGTACTAGGATGAGAGAATGACTATGTCCATCTTCAAGGCACACAAAGGAGTGCTGGTTATCTTGTGGGCAAGCACCTAAGAGCAACTGAACGTAGACATGAATGGTACTTGTAAAATTTAAAACAAAAAGACAAATAGTCCAAATTTGCTGTACTTCTCAGAAATGACAAGTTGCTAAAATAGACATTCTTTAAAAATTAACATACAATTTGTTCTTTAAGCTGTGGCTGATACTTTTCTAAATGAGTGAGAAATTAACTACTTTTGGAAATAAATGTGCTCTGGCTATTGAAGAGACATGAAAATTTATCATTAATACACAATTTTATTACTAAAAATTACATAAATGTGTCATGAATAAAAACTTTTATAGTAACTGCAAATGGGTATGAAGTATCTCTCTGGGGTGATGTTTTAAAATTGGACTACGGTAATGGCTGTACAAGTCTGTAAATTTACTAAAAATCATTCATTGAGTTTCATACTTAAGGCCAGTGAATTGTATGGCTGTAAAATATACCCCCAAAATGCTGTTAAAAAAACCTAGTACCAACTCAAAAAACTTGAAATAGTTTTCTACCCTATTAGAAATTCTTCCAAATGAAGAGTACTAGTGAGTTTTAACCTCATTATTCTGATGCAACAGTTTTCAAGATCAGTTAATTTTATAAGCGGAAAAATGAAACTTTTCTAGGTAAAGTACAACAAAACTTAGTAGACTGGGCTGAAAAATTAGCATCATAATTAATTAGGTAAAGTGACAATGAAACACTTCCATTCTATCACATATTGTTACAAGGTGTCTTTTTCAGTTATGACAACCATTAAGATCAAGTACTAAAATAAAATGAATTCAGAATCAGAACTTGGAATATTGAATCAAAATAAAAAAGATTTCTGAAAATAATGACGCATCTTAAATTACATTTCTCACTAAATGCTAGTAATTTTTAAATTTTAAAAATCATTAATAATCATCAGAATATTAAATATTGCTTATTTCATTGCTTACATTTCTGTTTATATTGATTATACTATACATAAAGAATATAGTAAAAGATGTATTAAGTTATGAATAATTAATCATATACAGATTAGGAGTACATGCTAAATATTTTTTTAACTAATAGAGGTACGCTACTATAAAGTTCGAAGATTACTTTTAAAACCTGAATCTCTTTATGCCTCTCTCCTGCTTAAAACTATTCAATGGATTCCCACCATTCGTAGGTAAAAACCAAGCTCCTTAATATAGCTTACAAAGCTCTGAATGACCTTGCCGCAATCAGCCTGTCCAGCTTCAACATGTCTCTCCCTTACATCCTCCATCGGGCTTCCTTCATTCCTGTGTTCCAGGACTTCTGTCTCTCACTGCTAGTATCTGTGAAAGGACAGGAGTCCTCCCTTTCTGCCTGGCTAACACTTACTCATTTTTCCAAGTCAGTTTAACTTTCATTTTTATTGGTACATTGTCTTTGTTTTCCCTCAGCTAAGTTAGGTCTCCAAGCTATATGCTCCCATTATAATCTATCTCGCTTTTTATAAAACTTTGTCTTAACTGTAATCACTCACTAAATATTCCTTGCTATTCTACCCTCAGTGTCAGACACACTAAGTGGCACAAAGTGGTAATAAGTATTACTGAATGATGAAATGTGCTCAATTTATATCACAGGTATTATAAAAAACAGCAAACCTCCCCCGCAACCCCAAAAAACAACTTACCAAATAGGATAAAAAGTCCATGTGGTGTGATAAGCTGTTTGAAAAGGATAACAAAATGTAAGTGTCCAACTAATTTAAGTAAAATTTTAAAGTAAGTTTACTTGTAGAAATGACAGTTGACTTTTGTTAAAGCATTTATTTTATATGCTTCTTCTATGTATACTAGTGATGAATTTTATTTTCATTTGAATTCAACCCTAGATCAGAAGCTACACCACCTCCTCCTGAAAGACTTTTTACATATGTTACTTTTCAACTCACATCAGGATTAAGGTTGGTGACAAGCAGAACGGAATTTCCCGGAATTCCACTAGTTCCAGGGATGGCCATCCTTCCAGTGACAGCAGAGGAGGTGATTGTGAGAGGACCAAGAGCTCCAGGACCTAGTCCAGCCGGGACTGACAGACCTTTTCAAAACATCGAAAGCATTTCATATTCTAGTTATCTGGAAAGTTGTAACACTTGATATAACTTAAATAAATAAATGAGGACAAAAGCAAAAATACAGAAGAAAATGTGTCAAAGCTACTGTAAGGATATCAAAGGTCAGTTTTCTGTCCTGCAGAGTGTATCTAAAGGAAAGTCCCTTATCCTTTGACATTATCATACTTAGTACTTGATTATTTGCACAGCACTTTGCAGAGCAACCAAATTCACTGGTCTTAAAAGCCATTAGGCTTTCCAAAGGGCTTGTAAGTTCAAGCACTCCATCTGTTTCTTGAACTAGATATATTCTAGCACATTTCTATAAAGTAGATGTAATTTTCGTATTAACTTCTATTATATAATCAGGTATTTTTTTTTAAAAAAAGAGTCCTTCAGCAGTCGTCACAAATATGCATGCGAGGTAGCACTGCATTTCTAAAACTAGACTGTGGTAATGGCTGTGCAATTCTGGAAATTTTCTAAAAATCACTGAATTGTATACCTAAAACAGATGAATTGTATACATGCAGAATGTATGACATTCTATACAGGAAAGAGCTTTTTGTAATCTTGTAAAGTGCTATAGAAACATTACCATCAACAACAGATTTATAGAATTCAATACTCTTTCGTAGCAAGAATTTTCAGAACTCTCTGTTCCCCCTAAATATTGCAGAACTACTGAAAGTTCTATAATACTGGAATATTGACACTATATACTTATATCTAAAACAGCACATTTCCCTAGCAGGTCCCACTATTCGTGTTCTCAGCTTAAAAATTACCTAAGATAAAATCTCCAGTTTACATAAAATGAATCAGTTCTTTAATTTATTGATTCTTTTAAGTTCAAAATTCCTTACAGCAGACAGAGTCTGGCCACTTGACCACGAATCATATAATTAAATTGCAATATAATTTACAATGAAATTATTCTGCTTGAAAATCTAAGGAAGTAATATTACTACCATCACCTTGCTGAGTTTTAAAACTGTGGAGAACACCTTCTCAGGCTGGATGCTTTTCCATAAAATCTAATACTCAATAGTCTGTCACATGACCTCTTCCTATGCCCCTCCAATCCAACCCTGCAACTTCTGAACAGCTTTTTAAAGTCTGTTATATACTGCCAAAAGTACACCTTAGCTGCACTGTAGCATATATACCTGTGTGTGTGTGCGTATATGTATATCCCCCTACTAGACCTTAAAAGTCTCATCAACTCAGGAGCCCTCTTTAAAAATCTTTTCTCTTTCTTAACATCTATTACAGTGCTTTTTTATACACACTGTGTCAAAAAGAAATACCTAAAATGAGGGAAACCGTGTATCACTACTTCCAAATGTGTATCAATGAAACTTTGGAAGCTTCAACTCCCTAAATAAAACAATGTAGTAATGTCTTCACTTTAATGGGACAGACAGAATATTCACTTAATTAAGCATATGTTAAGATGTCTTAAAACCACCAAAAACTTCACATTTAAATAAACCTCAACCTCTGTAATCACTCTTTAGTTAACTTCATCCTTTCCACTGAAAAGAACAGTTAAAATTCCCAGAATTAGAAAGGTAGGATATAAAGATTATTGCCAGAAAGCAGCTATGTTGCAATTTAAAATACAGTTATATTCATAGATCAGCTGGAAACTGGAAATATATTAGGTAGACTAGGCTTAACACTATGCCACTCTTCTAATCACCAACCTCAAGTGTTTTTGCTACGCTCCAGAGATAAAATCAAAGTAATTTCTTCTTCTCCTTAAGTTATGATCTAATTCATTTTGTTTACTATTTGGAAAAGAGAGTGATTATCAAAATATTAACCAATTGCTATCTCTTAATTATCTCCATTAGCTAAAGAAAAAAAAATTCCCTAGAATAAAACCGCATGCATACCCTCTATGGAAATCTTCAGAATCCATTAATGACAAAAAACCAAACAAACAAAAAAAGAATTTACAAATAAGTTTAATACTATAAGTATTTATTAGTTCAAATATTTACTGACTGCATAATATGTACTGAATGCCATCAAAGGCATTAAAGGCACAGAGGTAAATAAGACACAAGTCTGTTTAACATGTAATTGATGAACTTACATTTTATATAACAACCAAAAAGGCAAATCTTAGGTTACCTAATATAGTCAACTTATAGTTGTCTGTGCCAACGTATATTGTGACAAAGTATAAATGATGAAGAAAATACAACAGAATTTTGGGATTGAGAATAAAACCAGAGAGAATTATTTATAAACACAAGGAAGCTGTGCATCATACATGATGCATGAGCCACTTCATGATTGATACACATAACGCTTTTACTGTAAGTCCTTCAAATATGGTAATATTTTACATCCTGATAAGTTCCTAGAAAATATATACCATCATTAAAAAAATCATTTCAAATTGAACTTTAAAAGAGTCAGTCACCTGTAGCTTGAGGAAATCCAATGGCTGGGGCAAATCCAGCAGCCCCAGCATATGGTGAGGAAATTATACCTGGTGCACCTAATGGGAAAGAGAAGCTAAAATAAAAAAACCATCTTCTATAAATATGGTTATCAAAGCAATACCAAATGGCTATGTGAGGGTATATTATTGATAAAGAGATTCTGTTACAAAGTAAAGTTTCATTAAACGGGTGATCCTTAATGAATACGTAATGCCATTTTCAAAGGCCAACCCCTTTCAACTGGGTTCAAAGTTCAAGAGTACAGCTAAGCTGTTTGAGTTATTAGTTTACTACTTGGTTTTACTTTATTCAGCTTTTTTATTTAGGTTGAGATTCTTGCCCTTATTTAGAGCATTGTTTCTGATTATTTAATAATCAAACACTTATTAAATTGTACTGAACTTTAAATTGAAAAGATACATGCACCCCAATGTTCACAGTAGCATTATTACAATAGCCAAGACATGGAAACAACCTAAACATCTATCGATGGATGCTGGATAAAGAAGTTGTGGTATATTTATACAATGGAATACTATTCAGCCATAAAAAGAATAAAATAATGCCATCAGCAGCAACGTGGATGGACCTGGAGATCATTATTCTAAGTGAAGTAAGCCAGAAAGAAAAAGAAAAATACCATATGATATCACTTACATGTAGAATCTTAAAAAAAGACAAATGAACTTATTTACAAAGCAGAAACAGATTCACAGACATAAAAAAACAAACTTATGGTTACCAGAGGGGAAGGGGGTGGGAAGGGATAAATCAGAAGTTCAAGATTTGCAGATACTAATATATAAAACAGATAAACAAGTTTATACTGTATAGCACAGGGAATTATATTCAATATCTTATAGTAACCTATGATGAAAAAGAATATGAAAATGAATCTATGTATGTATATGTATGACTGAACTATTATGTTGTATACCAGAAAACTGACACAGCATTTTAAACTGATAATACTTCAATAAAAAAAAAAAAATAAATAAATAAATAAATGTGAAAGCCATACAAATGAGAGCTCCATTAAAAAATGAAACAGGACAAGAAACGAAGAAAGCTGAAAACAGAACCTGGGAGTACTTAAGTATAGAGGAAGAAAGAGAACATTCTGAGAAAAAGAGAATAGCCATAGAAATAAAATTTTTTTAAAAACCCCCCAAAAACCAAACAGTGAATCAAAGTCCCCCAAGATCTAGAGATGCAGAGCTCTGGAGGACAGAGGGTTCAAAAAGGAGAATGAAAAACGTAAAAGGTAAAGAATAGTTTTAGAGCAATAGTGAGAAGCTAGATTTCAGAAGTCAAAGAGAGGGTTTTGGTTTTTTTTTTTAATGGAAGAGTGTTATGCATATTTATAGGAGGAAGTACATATATTTTCTAGGGGATTTAAAAGACCATGTAAGTTTATTTCCTTCATTAAAGGCAATTAACAGAATTTGTCAAATATCTAGCTGTGCTTTATTAAAATAATTTAAGAAAATACAGGCATTAACAGACTTCAGGGACAGAGCTAGCAGAGAGTTGACAATAAATGAAGATACAAAAAATCAGAATAATTGATAATAACTGATGAAATAAGAATGGAAGCATTTATTGAAAGCACATTATGAGTCAAGCATTCTTCTAGGACTGAGGAAACACTGAACAAAGCAGATAACAATCTATGCTCCTGTTAAACTTACATTCAAGTAGGCTCAAGATCAGAAGTAAAATGATCCACTTTCAAAACAGAAATAAGTGTATTTAAGACATTAAGGAAGACTTGACAAAGAGGCTTGAATATGAATATGAGAAATCATGAATTTACACTAGAAAGTTAAACATAAGAAGAGATATGGTAGATTGTATTATTGTTCCCAAGTATTTACTTGACCCTTCCATGTGACTCTGTCCAGTCATGTGACTTGTAGTGCCTTCTGTGGGAGGAGTGATCAACTGCACTGGATCATGTGATAGGAACACATACACAGACATGACATATACTGCCTCAGTAAAGAAGCTTTAAGAGGCATTATATGTTTACACCAACTCTCTTATTTTCACTCTCTGCCACAAAATGCCATGCCTCAAATGTAGTAACACTTTCAGCCTGGACCCTTGATCAAAAAGACACATGAAGGAAGGCTGCAAAAGCTGATCCAAAGCTGTCCAAGTGTCAGTTGTGTGAAAGAAATAAATGTTAATTGCCGTAAACCACTAAGATTTGTGGGGAGGGAAAGGGAAGTACTCTCTAAACACAACAAAGAGACTAATACAAATGGCTATGGGGGGAGGGTGAGGCAGAAGACTAGCAGTAGGTTTCAGAGAAATGAGGAAAATTTTTGAGATAACTATCATTGAACATTAAACAGCAACAAATGAAAGAAGTGGCAAACAATTACTACAGCCAAATTTTATATAACTATTTCCAAGTAAAATATGATTAACAAGAACATTTGTTAAAATTTGACAAAAGAATCGTTTGTAAAGTATCCATAAATCTACATTCCTCAAATAAGCAGAAACAAATATTTTTGCAAAGTAACCTGTTAAACTTCGTCAGTATTTTCATGAAAAGTTTAAACTTTTCAGAAAAAGGCTTAAGACTTGAATAACTAAAAATAGCTATTTTACACTTAGAAAATGTACCACCACAATAGCAATTAAGGCAATACAAATTAATAGATAACATTTTTACCTATGAAATCAGTTTATCAGTGTTATTTACAATAGCAAAACCCTAAAAAACCAAGCTTAATGTCTAAATTAGAGAATGATTGAATTATGATGAGTCACTAGACACAACACAGACATTTAAAATATTAGACAGTATATACTATGAAAAAAGCACAATTTTTATTTGAAAAAAGCACAATTATTACATATTTTTAAAATGCAAGTACAGTAGCAGACTAAATAATACAAACCAACTTTACTGCAGAAAATGCCCAATGAAAGAGGAAAAGAAAAGATCTTTAAAAAATCTAATAGCTAATAAGACGGTCAGCATAACTAGGCCTAACAACCCTGTGAAACAATTTAATTTTATTAGCCTCACAGGTAGCAGACAAGATGCAAATTCCAGGGTTAGCCCAAGGAAGGAATTAAACAAGAGACCTCCATGACATTAATCTTGTAGCCTAAAATAACCCATTCCATATTCCTGCTCCTCCTATCCTCAGAAGACTGCAAGGAAAGCTGCCTTCGTGTTTAACAGAAAAGAGACAAAAAAGTTCCTGAAAATTTCTATCCAAAAGCAAGCCCCAGTGCAAATCTGCGGTCCAAATTCACATTTTTTAGGAGTTCAAAGGAAAATTAATGAAATCATGGATTTAGATTAAAATGGTCCCAAACACAGATCTTTTAATGTTGCAGACAGCAAATTCTCTTTTTTTAAAAAATATTTTGTTATTTTTAAAATTATTTAATTGTAAGAATTCTGTATGTATTTTAGATACCATACATACATTAACAGATGTATGATTAAAATTTTCCCCTCACATTTCTTTGTTTATTTTTATTCTTTTCTCATTTTTCAGTTTTATTAAGTAGAACTGTTATAATTTGACTGCACGTATATAATATATTGCATGTAAATACATATAACAATATACTGCACATATTTTTAAATATTTACATATATGTACTCTTTATTGTTTCTGAGAATGTTTAGAGCTTTAGCTTTTTAAACTTACATAGTTATCAAAGGAATAAAGCCAACCACAAAATAAGAATTAATTGAAAAAGATACATACCCCCTGCTATTAACAGCAACATTATTTATAATGGCCAAATAGAAGCATCCTAAGTGCAATAGATGAGTGGATAAAGAAGATGCAGCATATATATGTAATAGAATACAACTCACCAATAAAAAAGGATATTTAGCCATTTGCGGCCCTTCATTCACTCTTTTTTTTTTCACTTCAAAAACCAGAATTTTATAACTGGCATAAACATTTCCATTGCATCAAAAACAACAAAATATCTAGAAATAAACTTAACCAAGGAGGTTACATATACTCTGAAAACAAAAACACTGATGAAGGAAATTTAAGATGATATAAAGAAATGGAAAGATACCTTGTGCTCTTGGATTGGAAGAATCAACGTTATCAAAATGGCCATACTACCCAAAGCAATCTACAGACCCAATGCAACCCCTAGACAAGCAAATTCCTTCTGGAGGAACTCACCAGCTTGATACTAAGCCTCAAAGAACTCTCACAATTAATTCTCCAAGTAAAATGAATAACTCAGAAAAAAAAAATCTAATTGTAGAATAACCGTAAAGATATCAGACACTGGAATTATCAGATGAAGATTTTAAACAGTATGTTTGAACAAATAAAGTACATGCTGAAAAATATCTGTAGGGCAGATACTTAAAAAAAAACTTCTAGAAATGAAAAGCACAATTACTGAAATCTAAAACACCTCTTCAAATCTTTTGCCCATTTTTAATGGTTTATTTTCTTACTGAGCTATAAGAGTTCTTTATATAACTTGATATAACTAATTTGTCTGATATATGTGCTGCAAGTATTTTCTTCAAGTCTACAGCTTGTCTTTTGTTTTCTTGATGATATCTTTCAAGAAGTGAAACTTTAAAATGTTGATGTACAATATATAAATTATTTCCTTTTATGGCTTGTGCTTTTTGTGTTCTAAGAAACTTTCCCATATCCTAAGGTTGCAAAAAGTTTCTCCTATGCTTTCTTCTAGTTTTATAGGTTTAAGATTTATATATAGACCTAAGATCCATTTTAAGTCAGTCTGTCAGTATGGTGTGATATATGGGTCAATTTTTTTTCCAATATGGACATCCACCTGTCCAAAAATTACTTGTTGAAAGATTTTTCTTTCACTATTGAATTTTACATTGGTAATTTCATTCAAAATCAACTGACTACATACATGTGGGTCTAATTCTACACTCTCTGCTGCTCCATTAATCTATATATCTCTCCTTTCAACACTATCAAACTTGTTTGATTACTGCAGCTTTATATTAAGTTCTGCACTTATTTCCTTTGACTATTTTAGATACTTTTTCATTTCTATATAA